CATGCATGCACACAACCTGACACAGGGGCGACCCTGAATCTGCCCAAGCAAGCCAGAGTTGCATAAGACCCTCATGTTCCCTTCTGCAACTTACTCTCCTTTTAGGCCCCTTCACCCTGATTCCCGATAGCAACCTGGCGCAAGCCTTGAGCCGTTGTCCGTGAGGTCTTTTTGGTAGGGTAGTCCAAATGCCTGGCATACTGTGATCCTGCACCGTCCTTTCCAGATGTTAGTTTTGTTCTTTGTTGATGACCGTGTGCTAAGCCAGGCTACTAAACAGTAGTTCAGAACAGACCATGAAAGGGGAACGTCCCCCTCCCACAAGCGGGAGTACAAGATCGTGACTATCAGAGAGACTGTGAGTTATATCCGCGCCTATGTCCAACTTGCTGGAGGGCTAAGCGGCACATGACGGAAAGGGGGGAAACCTCCATGACGGCCTCTGCCTCCTCCTCTCCATAGGCCAGCTGGTAGCCGCAAGCCCAAGACCGAGACCACAGGGGGAAACCCCAGCAGGAGGTGAGAAACACGAGAACCTCGCACTACCGGTACGACCACCACCGACCTTCGACAACCTGGGGCTCAGACTTCGTTTCCCGGAGGCCCCTGAGCCGCCACAGAAATGGAGCGACCGTGACGTCCGGTATGACCTCAACCAGGGCAGGTACTTTGTGAGGAAAGGGAAAAACGACCGTTGAAAGAGCATGAATGGAAGGACTTCGAAAACTACCAGGACCACGTGAACAAGTGCCGCGCCACAACCAAAGAAGGAGAGCGCCTCCTGCGGCTCACGCTGGAGAACAGACCCCGTGCAGCCAGTGACCTCCGCAACTACATCGAGAACCAGCCGGACAAGATCCGACCGCTGCTTGACAAGGCCTTGGCCAACTGGCAATGCGGAACCCAGGACGACACTGACACACGACAAGCTTTGGATGACATCCTCGCCCCCACGGTGGACTCCGCAGTGAAGACGGAAGGAGATATACCTCCACAAGGCATGACCTCGAGCACAGTGAAGGGTGACAACCAAGCCGCCAAGGGAGCCTTTCGGGGAATCTCCCCGCACCAGGCTGGTGCCGCCCGTGCCGTACCGCAAGCTAGACAAATGGCCCCAGCCTACATCGAGGACCAGGATGAGACTGCGAATCTGACCATGCTGGACTACCAAGAGACGCAGGTTGAGAACCCACCGTCTTCACAGGGTGAGCTCCAAGCCGAGTCGCCTGTGACCAGCCTCTCACCTCAGTCTTCACCCGCCATCGACATCTTCGAGGATGGCGCCGAGCTGCAAGCCCTCGCTCCTGAGGACAAAACTGCACCGGCTGCACCCGACTACACTGAGCACGGGGATGCCCCCGCATGGGACAGGAACGATGGAGAGGTCGCCGGGCCACAGGAGAACTTTGCTCCTGCCTCACCGACGGGGAGACCATCCTCGCTTACAGCATCGCAGAAAAGAAGGCTTCAACAGTTGTTGCAGCAACGTGATGAGCATGGCCCCCCTACCCCTTTGCTTCCTGACCCGACGACACCGGGGTTCCGCCACAGCACCACCAACACCACCAGTGCGGGGACCCAGTTTGTGATGTTCCCCCTAGGCTTTAGGTGTACCCTGACCTTGCTGTTTCCACCCGGAACCCGCGCTGGCGCCAGCAACAAGGCCACCCCAGTGCGAAGTCGGTTGTCCGCTGTAGTTGAACTCGTGCTGCAGTGCTCTGTTAGTGTGGGGAGTGGAGAACTTGTCGAACTCGGGGAACTACAGATTTCTATGACAGACACAAGCGATCTCGGCTAGGTGGGGCTGAAATGGCAGTTACATGCAAGCCCACATACTGTGTGTGCATAGACCTAGCTGGGCGCCAACCGCTGGTTTCACACCAGACTTGGACAACGGCGTAGCGCTCGCGCGCAGGGGGTGTAGGGGCCAGCCCTGCCCTCCAAACGCCTTGCAAGCAAGCAAGCAAGCAAGCAAGAGAGAGAGAGAGAGACAGCAAGAGCCCGGTGTATAAGCACAGGTTGGGGAACGAGCCTTTCTCTCAACCCCGAAAGGGGCCTCACGAACTTCGAGACCTGCGGACCGTCGGGGTTAGGCCTCCGGGCCAGGGGTCCTTCGGGGGCCCACACCCCTTGGCAAGCAAGCAAGCAAGAGCCCGACGCGATGATCAAAAGAGTCCTGGAGAACCTCAACGCCAGGAGGCCGTCTCGATAATGGTCGAGGAGAATGCAACAGCTGAGCAGAGCGGCAGGGGAAGGGAGAGGCAGATCTGTCCTGGAAAAGCCGCCACCGACAGAGCGATGAATTCCGCATGCGAGTGGCATGGAGGTCCGCCTGCCCGAGAAGACATGCCGAACACAAGAAAGCAAAGATGGCAAAGGGGGAAGAAGCTCCCTGGCCATGACAGTACTCGGAGTGGGCAGTGAAGCAGGCTTTCATGCAGAACGAGGGGGGCCTGCCACCCAGCACCCAGCGGGAGCAGTGCTACCAGGAACTGACCAGAACCTAGCAGCAGGATCATAACACAGAAAACCATTGCCAAGAAACCGGCATAACTAGGGCAACTAAGAGCGGGATCTCTATCAGCGCCTCGGCCCGGGCCTCGGCTGCTGGAGGCGTCTCTGGCCGTGTTTCCTGGACACCTGGAGGTGGCACGGAAAGGGAGACCAAAAGCACAAGGCCCTACACTGAACGTACCAGAACGACCTCCTATGAAGCGGGGGCCTGGTGAGAGGCAAGCCTGGCATAGCGGCATAGCTTAGCTAAGCAGACACCACCACCCGTCTTTCACCGCCGCATTCGTCGTGCAAGTACAGCTTTTCCAGTTCATGAGCAGGGGAAAGCTTTCGGAACCAAGCAGAACGCAGCCTTCCAGGAGAACCCGCAACGAACAAAGTACTTCCTCTCTAGCAGTCTGTTCTTGGTACCCTCCTTATCTCAGGCGGGCGGGGGCACCTTGGCGAGCAAGCCCATACACACTCTTCCTAATATGCCCCGGACCATAACGTGTAGGTGCACTTGGGTTGTTTGCGGGCATGGTTTGATATTGGGGATGCCGCCGACCAAAGTTTTCACAAGGGGGTACGGTTGCGCAGTAATTTAGGACTGGCCTGAGAGGGCACGGGGATGAGGCCGGGACGCGGGCCAAAGTTCCGGATGGGGATCGGCGACGACCGCTCACTCTCGTACGAACCTACCAGGGAGATGAGAAGCATCCTCTAAACACTCCAATGCTCCTTCTTTCATAAGCGAGAGAGAGAGAGAGAGAGAGGAAGAGACAGACTGCTCCCGCTCCAAGCCCCTAGCAAAGCAGCGAGAGAGAAGGAGAGAGAGAGACTTGGGCACTTAGCGCAAAGAAAGGGGCTCCCGAAGTCTTTTCTGCACCTCATTCCATTGTTTCTTTTGTTTGACCGGAGGGACACCCACCTTGACCAATTGTAGCCATAGGTACCATACCAGGAGGATTCCCACCCGAAGTCGTTACCTCATGGTTTCTGTTCATGCTTTGTTGCTTTCAAAAGGGGGGAAGAACCCGAAGCAGCACCCACAATGTACTGCGTCATATTCGTATTCGTACCGTGGTCCTGCATGATTCGGCACTTAGTTGCTGTTGCTGTGCAGTCAAAAAAGGGGGGAGCTGCCACACGCAGTTCGAGCATGGAGCGTTGGGCGAGGGATTAAGGACAGTGCCATAGAGGGTGCGGTGAAGAGGCCGGGACGCGGGCTAGTGTTCAGGGCAAGGGGGGTTCATGACCGTTGCAAAATCCGCGGGGGAAAACCCCTACCACAGACTCCAAGGCCTCTTTCCGAGAGAACGGGATACCTTGGCACGGGTCCGAACTGCTCGGACCTTGACCCGACGGAAGGAAAGACTGAAGACCGTAACCTTGCAGCATCTCAGCAAGTGGTCACATACCGGACATGTGAGCCAGTGCGCACGTATTGCACGAGGGCGGGGTCGCCTCGTCCTTTGGTTGTGTGCAAGCGAGAGAAGGCGAGACAGAGAGAGACACGGTCGCTCCCCTGCCCTCTACCTTTCCGAGAGAAAGGAAGAGACAGAGTGACGTGAGCGTGAGCGTGAGGGTCGCTCCACCTCCCTTTACCCTTGCGAAGGAAAAGAAGAGAGAGAGAGAGAGAGAGAGAGAGAGAGAGAGAGAGAGAGAGCGTCGTGGCAGTTTACAGTGTCCTTTGCAACCAGCAGAGAGAGGGACACGTTGGGAAGAGGAGTATGAAGAGCTTAAGGGAGCTTTAGGGTTTCGGCCAGTGGTTTAGGGCTTCGGCTAAGTTTATAGTGATTGACAGTTAAAGTTAGCTTTAGCTAATGCGTAGTTCGATTCTTTGTGTTGTTGCTGATCTATGCAAATAATGTGGGAGGCTGTCGCGCAAGCTCTCAATTTAAAGCAACACTCCGAGCCTTCTGAAGCCTGGCTGGGGGATCGTCCCAGACCTGAGCAGGGTGGTTCTGAATGTTGGAAAGGCAGCAAATCGTAAATAAACCCAAGGACAAGCAGTAGTTAGACTGTTGCAGCAGGGGGTCCGGGGCGATTTCAGGAGACGGCGGAAAGTCACGGCCATGCTTGTACTGGGGCTCTGGATTCTTATTCGGGATACAGGCAGAGCTCAGGCGGAAGGTCAGGCGAAAAAAGTAAAGTAGCCCACGGTGAGCAGGTGCACCGTTGTCACTGCTTGTTTACGGAGCACCAGCTCAGAACACACTCCGAACGACGGAGGCTCAGTACTGTACCAACTCCCCTTGCGCAGCTGAGCCCTGCCTTTTTCGCGAACGCTCCAGTTTCGGGCTTGATCCTTTGCATGCAGTCAGCTCTTAAAGTTCCCACTTCGAGCTTACACCCGTCGAGCCCATGCGAATCACATGCATGTTGCTGGACACGAATTGTTAAAGGTCATGAGTCATGAGTCATAGGTGACCCCTTGTCTTCTCAAGACGAATATCATGCAAGGAATCAACATCAACTGTATCAGTTTTATGAGCCCTGACCAGACTCCTCATTGGGAGCCGCAGCTCCGTCGAACACTCGGACAACATATTCCTCTGAACGGCCTGTGGGAAGTCCAAATTACAACAGACACCGCATCCCGACTGCAAGTGGAAGGCATGTTGCAGGGACGCGGCCATTCCTGTTAGACTAACTCGGAGACCCACAGCCCCGAATAGTTTAGTCACGTTGCATTGCGATGGGGCCTGACCGAGGCCAGACTGCAAGACTTGGTGGAAGGAGCTTGGCGAAAGATCGAGGTGCCCTTTGCACCGCAGTCTCACAAAGGCCGGGTGTACATGTCGCCAGCGGCTGCGACTTCAGGAAGTGCTTTGACCCAGACTGCAGGTTTGGCCACGAAGGTTTCTGCGTCGGAGGCCGTCTGGTACCGCCGGATGCTGCATGTGCCCACGAGCTGGTGCACTAGTTTGGGGCGAACTCTTTGGCTTCAAGTGGATGCTTGCGACTGGGAATGTGCAGCTTGGCAGCTCAAGCAAAGCAACCAGGAGTCACCATGCGTCATGTTGCCCTTTGTTTCCGGCACTCCAGGCTGTCTACTTGGACTCTAAGCCGCTTGGGATCCATCGGGGTGGTTACGACGCTTTCCGCTTGGAGATCCCCGGGCTTTCCGCTTGCTCCAAGCAGGGCATCCCTGAGGTCAGAACACTTCTGGCCGACGCCCAAGCAGCCCAGGGATCGATTTTGCCTCTTTGACTTGATCGAAATTTTCTGTCAAGGTCCGGGCTTGGGACCCGACGGATGAGGGCTGCCCATTCACAGACCACCCTCCGATACCGTGCCACCTGCTTGACAGACAGTTGCCGTTCAAGCTTCGAAGAGACGGAGAGCATCACTAGAAGGTGAGAGCTGCTGTGAGAGTGGCTGGCAGCCGCGTGGCAAACAAGCCCTGAAGCCTGGTTCCATCATGTGCCCTTGCTGAGTTGGCGAGGGAGGAACCTAGTCCTCAGACACCGTTTATAGTTCATTCTTTGGAGGTACACGGCGGTGACCGGCATTTGGCGACAAGGCATTTTTCTGGAGCATCTTCCTGGCTGCCACATCCGGAATCTGCATATCAGGGTGGCCCTGCATGTTATATCGCCACGCTTTGCTTCCAAGCCTTGTCCGCGCTCGGCACAGGTACGCAAGGATGCGCCTCGCAAGCTTACTGCGGCTTGGCCTGTGGGACTGTGGGGGTCAGCGAGGTCACCTTTGTAGCTCTCCGGTGCTTTGCTGACAGGTCGCCGTGGACGCGACATGTGAGAAGCAGCTTTACTTGGAGGCTCCGTCGCAAGCATTTCGCGCGAACACTGGTTCTGCAGCTTCTCAGGTGCGCGATCTGAAGGGTGCACTCCTCGGAATTGCTCGCGGCCCGTGCTGCGAGCTGCAATTGGGCCGCATTTGTTCCTAAACTTAGATCCCGGACTCCCGTAAACCCACATGGCAGACGTTACGAGGCGTGAGCGTGACCCTCGAGGCTGTTCTCCAGCAGCACAATGCAGGGTTTGCCCGAGTAGGAACACATAACAACAATTAGCTTGCCCGCCACAACTCCGTCTGCTACAGTTCACAACGCTGCCTCAGTCACGCTGTGATGCACCGAACGATTATGTGCATGTCACCAGATCTTGTTGCTGTTCCTGTTGACTTGCAAGAACTTCCTGCACCTGAGGCATGCAGAACTCGAACAGGCACTGCAGCTGTGGTCACCTGAGGATACGGAAGTCTTGAAGCAAGCATGGACTGTTCTGCTGCACACCTCACTATGCACTTCAAATGCCCGAAGCCGAGCTGTGCCACTGCAAAGCCAGGACCCTCAACGGTACGAAGCTCACGTATCGCTGGGTGCCGACACGGACACCGACACTGTGATTCGACGCTTCGCACGCCGATTTGTTGCAGTCAAAGATGGTCGCTTTCTGCTGAACGATCAGGCCTGGCGCTCTTTCGTGTCAAAGAACGAAAGGGCAATGAAGGATGTCAAGTTTCGGCCTCACAAGCTCCAAACTTGAGACGCATCAGCCCACCTTTCGGGTCGTCGCGAGCAAGATCCATCGTCCTCAAGAGCATGCTAGCAGCTAGCAGCGCATGAAACCCTACCAAGTTCGTTTGCATCGCGAACGAAGCTTGCTTTTGTTTCTTCATGTCATGGTACAAGAGCACGAAACAAGCATATTACGTTCACCAGCCTGGGACGCCGTTGCTTAGCTGCCCGTACGTGTGGCTTGTGGCGGCTGAGTCTCGCGAGTACCGACGTATCAGTGGGGTGTACTGTGAGTTGTGCCGCAACCCCCAACAGCTTGTTTCCTTCAGGGGCAAAGATGCTTGCATCACATACGATCATAGGGTCTCTCGGATTCCCTACGCGTAAATGTTTGCAACATGGCTGGCTCACACACCATTGACTCGAACATGTTTAGAGCATACTCAAACTCAAGCACAAGCCTCGAAGCCAAGCAAGAACCGTAAAACACAAATCTTATGCGATTCTGCCTCTTCTCCCATCCCGGGCATTGCTTTACCGGATTGTGTGTCTGTGCACGCGTCTGTTTCTTCCGAGAAAGAGGGTTGCGGAGGGTTCTTCTAGAAGCAGGCACTGGACCGAAAGCGGGGTTGATCGCAAAGTTGCGGCGAGCCAATCCCCAAACGAACCCGCGGTGGATCCGTAAGGTGTCGACCCAACGTCCTGCCAGGTCCTGTTTGTGCATGGGGTGCTGTATCAGGCGGGGGCGCAGCATGTGCCGTGCGAGTTGCAAACGCTGTGGCTGAGGGCTACTGGCCGGAGTCGTTGCTCACACCACCGGACTCGGGAGCCATCAGCCGTGACCTTGAGATGATCAAGGCCCAGATTCATAGCGGAAGCGAGGTTGTTGCCAGAGAAGTCACATTCCAAATAGTCCCTTTGATTTGGAGGCCGCAGGCTTCAACACGGTTCGGGTGCATGCTGTGGTCATGGGGGAAGCTTTCTACGATGAGTGCGACAAGCTCGGCCTGCTCGTGTGGCAGGTGCCGAGTGCCGACAGCATCAGGGCGTGCATGCGTTCGGCAAAACGGAGTTCGTTTCCCAGGACATGCCAGCCGGTGACATGCGTGCGATGCCAACGTGGTCAGAAGGACGTGCGGTCGCCGAGGAAGAGACACTTGGCTGCAGAGTTCTGTTGAAGCTGGAACCCGGATAGAGTATAGACTCATCCCAGCCTTTTTCAAGGATCGGCACAGAAGCACAGAGGCCAGATCACTTCTGGATTGAGCATGGCGAGATCACGCTGTGATGTTGACACGTGACATGGAAGCTCGAGGTTGAAAGTTCCCGTTCCTCGGTCGCTCTTTGATGAGATTCGGCGATCACACGAAAGTCGAAGAGCCTTTGAAACTGAGCTGCAGGACCCGTCATGCTTGCCTCATCAACCTTGTCTCTACAGAGATGCAGTGATTGAAGTAGCCTGTTACGGCATGCTACGACTACGGGAGACATTCGGCACGAGCCGAGAGGTTCGCAGCCCAATGCACTTTCTGTCAGCTTTGCACAGGCCATGGTCGGAGCTTTGTCGCACTTCGCTTCTGTTGCTGTCTGGGTGCTCTTCAACGAGGGTTGGGGCCAATCGAACACGAAGGCACGTGCTTGGCAAGCGGAGAGGTGTGCGCAAATTTAGCTTGGCGCAGGCATTGGTGCAATTTCTGAGGGGCCTTGACCCCAGCCGGCTGATCGATGCATCTTGGCCGCAAGACTGTCAGGCTCGCTTGTTCTCGGCCCTGGCTGTGGGCGGTGACAAGGCCAATAGCGGATGGAATGAAGTCGAAGGTGGCCCGTTGGGTGACTTCGCAGATCTTCACAACTACGACCCTCGACAGTCAAGTCTCAAGAATCAGTGCTTGAACCACAGAGGGAGGATGGAACCGCATCAAGAGACCCGTGCATGTTCAAGGCGGCCCGCTTGCGATGTTTTTTTCATGCAAAGGAAGACAACTCATCAATCTTCGGGCCACTTGCAATGAGCTTCCAGAACTTTGCCGCCTGGGGCTACACTGTTGGAGGCATCCCGCCCACGAGCTTACGTGGTTGCATAGCCTGAAAGCCGGTCAAGCACAACAGCATATTGCATGTTTGTTTCCCGCATCGCAGACGGCCCAAGCAAGCTAGGATGACCCAACAGCATAACGGCATGCTCGATCACTTGCGAAGGTGAGAACGGGACCGGCATGCTGGGCATGCTCTCCCAACCTTCCGTTGTCGGGTTCCGGCCTTGTGCACACTGGCACCCGTCGCTGGCGAAGCAAGCGCGCACAACGTGCAACGAAGCGTCCCTGCCAAGGGCAGCTCGGCAGTGGTGTGCAAGCCTTCTGGCTCTTGCCGCCTCCCAGAAAAAGATTCGAACCCGTGGCAAGCGGGAAACACAGCGACGAGCTGCAGATGAAGAAAGTCTGGCTTCGAACCCAGCTGTGGAGATTCCACAAGAAGACACCGAATCCCGTCTTCGCACCAGCGCAACCTGGCATGCCAAGCTGCGTCGAGTTTGCTGCACATGCGACTACGACATGATTGCTCGGATCGCGGTGTCAGTGGGGAGCAGTGACGGTGCGGATCTCGTGGAGATGGTTGCGTACGAATGCGTTCGGCGTCCCTGTGTTTTTTTCACCCGGGTTCTCAGAGCGTGTCGGCTTCGTGATGTGCCGCCACTTTTCAGTGTCCAGCTGTATCACTTGGTGGAGCCTTGGCTTCGGGAGCAATGTGCGAGTTATGCAACCTGGGAAGCAGTGCTCTATGCCTTGGCCTTGCAAGCCCTTGAAGCTGGGGAAGCCCCGGACGAGGCCCTCAAGCTCCTCAGTGAAATGGAAAACGGTCCAGATCCCAGGCTTCCGGAGCCAACGAATGCAGCCTACTGCATCCTTGTCCAAGCCGTTGCAGCCAGCCAGGGTGAAAGGGCCGCTAGACACCTGTTGTCCAGGTCAGCAGCCTTCTTGCTGCCTACAGACCCAGTCATCTATTTGGTGCTAGCCGCGGTGCATGCCAGCTCCAACATTGACATGTCCAAGACGCTCGTGCGAAAAGGGGAGATGTTGTCGAGAAGTTGGAAGACCTCCAGGTTCCTGGATGAGCACCTCGGTCCCGCTTCAACACACTGTTTCCGTTCAGTCATCACTCTTAAGTGCCCCGACAAGAGCACTAGCTGGGACTGCCAATAATGCACCGCGTTCTGCATTTTCCATTATGCCACTAAGTTACGATCACAGCACGACTACTCGCGGACTAGCAGTTGAACAGCTCTAGTGCGTGCTATGAGTATTGCTTCACAAGCACCGCCTCCCTGCCGCCGTCGGCACAAGCGTTCCTCCCAGCCCAGTCTACTGCTACTGCAAGACTTGCCGCATCTTCCACTACAGCTTCCTTTGATAACCGCTATCGTCTCCCATTCAGTGATTCAATATTGCTATTGCGGCATACTACATCGCCACAGAGTGTAGGAATCAGAGCTCTGCAGAAGACTTCTTGAAACAAGGCTGCACGATTACTTTGTACTTTGCTTCTGTATAAGTAAACTGACTGTCGAGTTGCTGCACAGTGTCTTACGAAAGCACGGTGTCATGTTGTTCGCTTGCCGTCGTGTGAGACATCACTACGGCAGGTACCAAAGAGTTGGTCTGTACAACACGTTGCTGGCAGCCTATCGGAGCATGGGGCGGTTGCGAGATGGCTTCGCGATTCTTGGAGTAATGCAGCAGCATGGCATCCAACCAACGTCTGTCTCCTTCGGCATTTTGCAGCAAGCCTGCTGGGGGCATCCGGATGCAGCCATCGAGATTCGGCAGTTGCTACGGCTGATGGAAGTGATGGGAGTGGCACCGGAGACGATAAACTACAACGCCCTCATCAAAGCATACAGCGACACCGGGCAGCTGACCATGGCACTCCAAGTGGCAAACAGAATGCGAGAAGCCGGAATTCTTTGGGATCGGTTTACATACCAATACCTGCTTTGTGCGATGGTGGGTGCAGAGCAAGCAGAACTCGCGGTCCGGCTCCTTACTGGGATGCGAAATGATGGTGTGAGACCTCGGGCAAAGCACTACGTTGCGGTTTTCGTGGGCCTTGCCCAAACAGGTTTCTACGAAGATTCAGTGCGTGTTTTTCAGCGCCTCGTTTCCATGGGCGCCCAGTATGCCAGCCTTTATGCCTACAACGTCATGATGGGCATACAGTGCAGAAGAGGTGACATGGAGACGGCCCTGCAGACCTTTGAGAGTATAAGAGAAGCTGGCATGGAGCCCAACGCAATGTCCTTTCGGATTCTGCTGGAAGGCTATGTCGTCGCGGGTGACTGGATATCTGCTTTGGATATGCAGGCCCCCCTTCAGGAATTCAGAGATCGGCTTCGAAGGATATCTACGGACGCTTCCGTAACACAGTCGGGTCGAGAAGCCGCACGGCAGGAGTTGATAAATAAGAGGCACTGGACCAAGGCGTATTACTTGCTAATTGATGCCGCGCTTTGGAAAGACGAGTGGGTTCGAGCAGTCAGTCTGGTAAAGGATTTGGTGGATCAAGGTCTTCCAGTCCATCCTGTCAGGCATGCTCGTCTGGTGCGTGACTTGAAGTTCTATTATGCAGGTTCCGAGCAAGATGCAGGTGTTGGTGTCGATGCGGATGTGTTGTTTCTCCAGGTCCCTGATTCGGAAAGCAGCAGTGCCGCAAGTGCTGCAGGGAAACTCAGCAAAGACTGGATCACACGTGTTCCAAACATACCGCGCACCGTACAGTCCTTGGAACCACCAATGACAAGCAGCTCTGAGCAGATGCCACTGCATGTTTTAGCTGCCAGTTTTGCGCCTCAGTGGATTTATGCTGGCAGCTCCTCTTTCAACCTGGATTCTATACCCGACTTATGCAAAAGGATGCTTGGAAGGCTTGAAGGCGAGGAGGCCTTTGTGGCCGACCCCCAGGCTGCATACTCGCTTATTTATACATACTATCACACGACCCTTCATCGGCGGCCAGTCGTTTCGAGGCACATCCCTGCAAGGGAGGAGATCCTCGCACGTGCTGAGCCAGAGACCATCGAAAGCTTACAGGAACTTTTTGATTCGAAAGGTTGGCCTGGCAGAGCTCCCCATGGATATCTCTTCATGAGGCTTCGTGCAGCACGCAATTACTAGCATGTGCAGTTGAGGGTATGGTTTGACGGTTCCAGGTTTTCGGTTGTGGATGCGACTTGTGTCCTTGCCGAGGCCGGCTTCTGCGAATTTGGATGCGTTGCTAGTGCTGCTGGGACTCGCAGCATCTCATCCCGAGTCCGTCCTGTTGCTGAGATCTGAAGATTCAGAGAACAGGCGGCGTCTGGCCGACGAGTGCAAGACTCGCAGATACCGAGCGCTCGCAGTAACACTGTCCTCCACATTGGCCGCGATGCCTGCAGCAGCTCTGGTCAACACCAGGCACTGGCTGCAAAGTCCTCAAGGGTGTGCGGCCAACCTGTGTTGTTTCGCATTGCATGGTAACTTGTGGAACTTGCACAAGCTAGCAGCCATCACAAGCTTGTCATTGTTGCCATGCTTCTGTGGACCATCCCCAGGATGCTGGTGGCGAGCGTAGACATGCAGTTATCTTGCAGCAACTTCGAGAGCTACTTGCGGGATGCCCTTGCTGGAAAGACAGCGCTATCGCAGGGCGGGCAGTTGCCCGACAGTGCCGATGCGAAGGCAGGTTGGGAGTTTGCAAGAAGGATGGTGATGAAAGTCTTTGCCTGAAACACTGCCTATTCTCTAAAAGGTTCGAGCATCTCAGGCACAGCGGCTGTGCTCGTGTATGAAGCATCCCCGAGTCCACACTCGTGGCCTGCCTTCGTGGCTCCGCACCCGTGAGTAGCCAGAGCTGGCACACCAAGTGGGTTAAACTGCTGACCCTATCGATCATGTGCCCCAGTACTTCAGTTCTCTGGACAGCAGGAGCCAAGGGAGGTGAGAGAGGCAGCTAAGCGGTTGTCCGGCTTTCGATGTTCCATTGTGATGTCGGTGTCGAGCTTGGTCGGGTGGGAGATGGTGGGAGTGGTCACAGCAGGACGTTGTCGCCTAACATACCCTGGTCACCTCCGTCCGCGGCTGGGAGACGGTAATGCAGCATGCTTACATGTCCTCTCCGCAAATCCCCTTCTTTCCACCGACCCCTGCAATTCGGTGCGCGCCCAGTTCATTGTTGCCATGTTTATCCTCAACTGGCTACGATCACGAAGACTCAGATTGCCCAGCTCCATGTACCCGCTTGTAAACTTTGAGCATGCCGCAGCTAGCATGCATCGGAACAGTCCCCGAAAACTCAATGAATTGCTCAACACTTGAAGCCATGACAGGCCTGGCCATGCTGCAATTCCTGCCCCTGGGGTCCGACAAGACTGATCGACACCTAAATTCAGAACACAAAAAGGAAGAGACCCAACTATTAGTATTGTGCACGCCGACTTGCGTGGTCGCAGGTCTCTGCTGTTTTTGCATGTTGAACTGTTGAGCACGAGCGTTTCAAGTCTCGTCCGAATCTCATGTAGTCACATGACAGGCATCGGCGTAGCGTAGCTTTGAAGAGAAGACGCTGCGCAGCAACTGCAGGCTGACTCTGATGTGAGCTCAGCGAGTTCCTGGCCGGCATGGCTTTCCCAACAGCGTCTCGACAAGTTGCTTCGCCACGATGGACAGCGGCTTCGACTCGATGCTTTGCGAGTGCGGCCATTGCAAGTGGAGCAGACCACCTTCACTCTGCGCGGGCAGCAAAACAACCAGGCGCCTCGCTGCTTGTTGGTTTGTCACACTCAGCCAGCTGCTCTTAGCGCAGTTGTCCAGTTTTGTATCCAAACCAGACTGTAAAAGAGGAGCAAGCCAGACTTTGCTAGACTGCTAGACTGCCAGCACTGTTGGCTGTGTCCAGGTCGAGATCTTACTTTGATGGATCCAGTCTGAAATGGTTTCCCCACAGTCCGTGCAAACGCCGGCACTCGCGGTGGAGCAACGAGCTCTTGCATAGCAAGTTTGCGACTGGATGGACTGCAAGAAGTGTCAACAAGCTCGTGGCCCTCACAGCTGTCCGGATCGATTCAGGGTGAAGAAGACGTCCCTAGACCCAGCGTTCACGAAGTGCAGCTAGCAGACAACCCCGACCAAGACAGGCATATAGTGCCCATCACATGCTCCTGCTGGGGAAGCTTTCCTCAACGGCCAGGCTCAGCGTGTTCTTGATCTTCCTGGTGAGTGAGATGTGCGTTCTTGCGACCTCTTGGATGATCACGCCCTGTCAGCGGCACCTGCAGCAACGACCTGTTTCCCCGCAAAGAGTCGTCAAAGCTCCTGGCTGCGCCTGCAAAGAAGCGAGGAGAAAAAATTCCGTGCGCTAGGGATGTCTTTGTTCTTGTGAGGTTTTGCCAAGCATGTCATGCGCTGTGTCAGGTCGAGTGCCAGCTCTGGGTGAGTACGGCGGCTTGGGATATGCAGTGGAAGGCCACGGCTGGTCTTCCTACAATTCGTGGGGATATGGGGAGAAGCAAGTCAACCGTCACCGGGAAACTTGTCCCCAGAGCTAACATCTGTTTGCTTGCTTGTTGCTTGAAGACCCTTTCGGGCCTATAAGAGAAACAAAGAAGACTGAGCCAAGAGCCAAGGAAGTTTATGCCACTGCGCTGGAGAAGCTGCTTCTGCGACTACTTCCATGCATTTGTGACTTGGGGCTTTCTTGGTGCTGTTTTCCTGGACGCCGGGCAGACAGTCAGACCAACAGAACAGTGCAGGCAGCGATGAAGCTCAGGCGACGGGCTGGGTGCTGCAATCTACACTCAATGGAACGATGTTGAAACCGAAGTCAATGGTTTGCTCACCTACGACCGCCAGTCTGCCGCAAATCGGGCACCATCTGAGAACATGCACATGTCCCGCTTGAAAGAAGCATCGCATGCCAAGGCCACCTGAAGCTCCCAATGGAGTTTTACCAAGAGTTCTCTCGAATGGTGCAGGAGTCCGCGCACAAGTGCGTGTCTGCGACGCACCTGCATTCCAGCCCACACACATGAAAGCATGCTTGTGAGCCAGTCGGGGGCACATGGTCAGGGGAGTCCGGGGCACTCGGGGTCGCTTTGGTGCATTTGTTCGTTTCAGGTGCCCAGCAAGGTCGCCAGTCTGTCCGCCGACTGAAGGGTCTTCTATGTGGCGGAAAATGCGACCTGCTGACTTTGCGACTGCCTGCTCCACTGATCTTGGAGAGAGACAGCACCAAGTATCGTCTTGCAACAACGAAAATGCAGTCTGGCTTGGCATGGCTGTGGCTGTACGCCACTCGAGAACAGAAGCGGATTGTCGATGCGTGAGCGATGACAGGTCCTGAGCAAGACACGCAGGCACGGGCTTCAGCGCAGTGCAGCGGTGTAGAGGCAGCGACAACGAAGCCTTGACCCGAGGAGCAGGTGTGGTCCGCAATGGAGACCGCAGCAAGACGAGGCCAGCCAATGTGTGCAAGACCCTCAGTATGCAGAACACAGTTTTCCGAGTTCTATCATGGCTGGAAGCTGAGCAGCTGAACGCTTTGACAGCAAGGCCAGCTGTCAGGGCAAGAAGAAGAAATCCCAAGTTCAGCAGGGAGAGGAAGGCAGCACCCACAATGGGCTGGTTTGGCGCAGCGGTGTCGTTCAGCGTAGGTGGGATTCTCGGAAGCCTATGGAACATTGGTGGCGCGTGGAAATCCGGATCACAGCAGGCGGGTCGACAAAAAAGTCGGGCCGCACAAGCTGGCAGCATGGCGCGGCGCAACTCGATGCAGGTCACTGACAACGTGTTAAATGAGGATAGCGAGTACGAGGAGCAGCTGCGGCATGGTCGATGACACAGATGAAGTCTAAGTCTAATTAGGTCTAGGATCTCAAGATTCGGAAGGATCATGCATAACGGGCTGCGTTTTCATCAGCAACCGACCACATGGAGGAGGATCAAGTCGATGAAGTGACTGGGCTGGTCGGAGCACACTGCTCCGCGGTGGCAGATCAGTCTGAGCTTCAATGTGTTCTGGAATGGTTTCTAATCGACTCGCTTGTAGATGTAAAATGACTCATAGCAGAAGCGACCACGGATGCAGTAGCTTCTTCTGTACAATTGAGCAAGCTGTTTTTCCACGAACGGCATGGTGCCGCTTCACGAGAAGTATCGGGCTTGCTTGTGTTTGAAGACAGATCCAGGCTACACGGTCTTGGCGGCAATGGAGGTCCAGATGGCCAAGTTTCTTGATGTGTCTAGGATTGGGGGTCGACACGCACACTGCTTGGAACAGCCGCTATGTCAGCGATCCGCTGGCAGGTCGCTGCCGACAATGGGAAGAGCTGGTTCCGCAAAGAGCCAGCCATCCAGAGAGTCCAAAATGCTGTAGACGGCAGATCCCAGCGGATGAAAATGTCAATCCTGGCTGGTCGTGAGTGCAGGCGCTGGGTTCGATTGAGGAACCCATGGGGGCTTCTGCCTGAGACGCATCGCGGCAGTGCCTAACACCTCCACATGTATCATTTTCATCATGCCTCGAGTCACGATATCAGGACCGGACGATGGAAGGGTCCGGCGCCGTCGACTTAAGAAGTCAATGAAGTCAACGCTGCACGGTTTCGTGAAGCTAGATGCTCGAAGCCTTCTCGCACATAAGGCCCAAGAAGGGCAGCCTGCCGTTCAGCTCAGCCGTCTTCGACTGCATTGGGGAGAAGGTCGCGCTTCACCAGATCTTGGACCTTGGAACAGAGATCGCTGCACTCGCGATGCACAGGTTCGGCGAGGTGCCGAACGGAGCGACACCCAAAAGCAGCAGGCGAGCCCGCCTTGCACTCCGTGGTCCGTGGGATCATGTCTCGGTTCGGCACAGGATGCTCCCGAAGGCCCGGTGACAGAAACTGACCCGGGAACCTTTTGGATGCGTTTGGCGCATGCCCCGTGTGACCTGCCCTGCGACACTGTGAGGCTTGATGTGCACATGTCGCCCTAGGCTGACTTCGTGGATGAGTTCGCCACCGTTTGCGTCTCCGAATACCGCGATACGACGGCAAGAAGAGCATCCACCCCTCCTTCCCAGAGATAGGCATACTCCGCAATCTGCCACGAGCCCATCGCAGTTGCAAGTAGCAGTAGGTCTTAGAAGGAATGGCCACTGTGTTCATGGAATAGTCTTCTTAATTCTAACGCTACGCGGCCCGGCTCGGCTGGCGGCTCCAGTAGTGCCAGCAGCGGCGCACCGCAGGCAGCCGCAGCAGCACAGAAGGAGCACAAAAAGTGAGAACAGGGCAGGGGAAAGGAGAACCGAAGGAGAAGAGCATAGAAGAGCAATGGAAAAAACGCGCGAAAGCAGCGGGAAGATTGAAAAGTGGCGGGGTAAGATGGAAAAGTGGTAAACTGGTAAAAGATGGACAAAGAAAAGAAGGAAGTGGGCAGAAGGAAGGGGAGCAAGGGGAAGGAGGGAGCCTGGGGCAGGAAAGCAGGGGTGGGGGTTCTTTTTGGGTATTTTTTATGGTTTTTTTTTGGTATTTTTTACGGTTTTCGGTTCGGCGGACGCAGGACTCAGTCAGTCAGTCAACGAGCCAACCGAGCGGTCAGTCAATCAGTCAGTCGGTCAATCAGCCAACCGAGCGGTCAGTCAGTCAGTCGGTCAGCCAACCGCGCGGTCAGTCAGTCAGCCAGTCAGTCAGCCAGTCAGTCAGCCAGTCAGTCCGTCTGCCGACCGCGCGGTCAGTCAGTCAGTCGGTCGTCCAGCGGTGAGTCGGTCAGCCAGTCAGTCCGTCTGCCAACCGAGCTGTCAATCAGTCTGGCTGTCTGTCAATCAGTCCGTCAATCCTCTAGTCAGTCGGGCTGTTGTTCTGGCGTTGCACCTGCAACCAGAGAGGGGGCGCGTTTAAGATATATGATGAACCGGAACCGCCGAATTCAGGGGGCTTGTTTAAGATAGATGACGAGCCGTTATCACCAAAAGAGGGGGCGTGTTAAAGACATATGTTGAAACGGAGCCGCCAAAAGAGGGGGCGTGTTCAAGATATTTGGTGAACGGTTATCGCCGAATGCGGGCGCGTGTTAAAGATATCTGGTGAACCGGAGTCGCCGAATGAGGGAGCGTGTTGAAGACATGATGAGCCGTTATCACCAAAAGAGGGGCCGCGTTTAAGATATATGGTGAACGGTCATCGCCGACTGAGGGGCCGTATTAAAGATATATGGTGACCCGGAAAGGGGTGTGTCTAATATTTTTTTGCATAATCTATGGTGAACCGGAATCGACAAATGAGGGCGCTTGCTTAAGATGTGATGAACCGCCGGTCCTCTTGCAAGATCTTGCAAGTGCGTTTGCAAATGGGGGGGGGGGGCTGCGCCGCCCCCCAGACCCCCCCCACTTTCTCATTCCCTGTTTTTCTTTAGATTTCTTTAGCGAACCTCGTACCATCAAGAACGCTATGGCCATTTGCGATGGTCGCAGCAAGTCAAGCGCATAACTATTCTGAGACTTTTCAAATCCCGTCCCAGGGGCCCAACCCCCCTCGCTTTATGTTTGGGCCATGCAAGCTAAGATATATGGTGAACGGTTTTCGCCGAATGAGGGAGTGTTAAAGACGTATATGGTGAAGCGAAATTGCCAAATAAGGGGTGTGCTTCATATATATATATATATATATATATATGGTGAACCGGAATCGCCAAATGAGCGGGGTTGTTTAACACGTATCATGAACCGTTATCGCCAAATGAGGGGGCGCGTTTATCATGTATGTTGAACCGTTATCGCCAATTAAGGGTGGTGTGTTTAAGCTATAGGCTGACCCGCAGTTACCAAATAAGGGGGGGTGCTTACCGCTTGCAAGTGCGTTTGCAAATGGGGGGGGCTGCGCCCCCCCCAACCCCCCCGCTTTCTTCAGCTCCGTAGTGAACTTGCTTTAGCGAACGTCGTGCCATCAAGAACGCTTTCTGGCCATCATTGGCGATTGGTCGTAGCAAGTCAAGCGCCTAACATATATGAGACGTTTCACAGCCCGTCCTCGGGGCCCAACCCCCTCCCCCTGCTTTATGTTTGGGCCGCGGTGAATGGTTTTCGCCGAATGAGGGGGTCTTGTTATCGCCGAATGCGGGCGCGTGTTAAAGATATCTGGTGAACCGGAATCGCCGAATGAGGCAGCGTGTTGAAGATATGATGAGCCGTTATCACCAAAAGAGGGGCCGTGTTTAAGATATATGGTGAACGGTCATCGCCGACTGAGGGGCCGTATTAAAGATATATGGTGAACCGGAAAGGGGTGTGTCTAAGATTTTTTGCACAGTCTATGGTGAACCGGAATCGACAAATGAGGGCGCTTGCTTAAGATGTGATGAACCGCCGGTCCTCTTGCAAGTGCGTTTGCAAATGGGGGGGGCTGCGCCGCCCCCCAGCCCCGCCTCAAGCCCTGTTTTTGTTTAGCGAACTTCGTACCATCAAGAACGCTATGGCCATTTGCGATGGTCGCAGCAAGTCAAGCGCATAACTATTCTGAGACTTTTCAAATCCCGTCCCAGGGGCCCAACCCCCCTCGCTTTATGTTTGGGCCACGCAAGCTAAGATATATGGTGAACGGTTTTCGCCGAATGAGGGAGTGTTAAAGACGTATATGGTGAAGCGAAATTGCCAAATAAGGGGTGTGCTTCATATATATATATATATATATATATGGTGAACCGGAATCGCCAAATGAGCGGGGTTGTTTAACACGTATCATGAACCGTTATCGCCAAATGAGGGGGCGCGTTTATCATGTATGTTGAACCGTTATCGCCAATTAAGGGTGGTGTGTTTAAGCTATAGGCTGACCCGGAGTTACCAAATAAGGGGGGGTGCTTACCGCTTGCAAGTGCGTTTGCAAATGGGGGGGGGGCTGCGCACGCCCCCAACCCCCCCGCTTTCTTCAGCTCCGTAGTGAACTTGCTGTAGCGAACGTCGTGCCATCAAGAACGCTTTCTGGCCATCATTGGCTATTGGTCGTAGCAAGTCAAGCGCTTAACACATATGAGACGTTTCACAGCCCGTCCTCGGGGCCCAACCCCCTCCTCCTGCTTTATGTTTGGGCCGCGGTGAATGGTTTTCGCCGAATGAGGGGGTCTTGTTATCGCCGAATGCGGGCGCGTGTTAAAGATGTCTGGTGAACCGGAATCGCCGAATGAGGGAGCGTGTTGAAGACATGATGAGCCGTAATCACCAAAAGAGGGGCCGTGTTTAAGATATATGGTGAACGGTCATCGCCGACTGAGGGGCCGTATTAAAGATATATGGTGAACCGGAAAGGGGTGTGTCTAATATTTTTTTGCATAATCTATGGTGAACCGGAATCGACAAATGAGGGCGCTTGCTTAAGATGTGATGAACCGCCGGTCCTCTTGCAAGATCTTGCAAGTGCGTTTGCAAATGGGGGGGGCTGCGCCGCCCCCCAGACCCCCCCCCCGCTTTCTCAAGCCGTGTTTTTCTTTAGCGAACTTCGTACTCAAGAACGCTATGGCCATTTGCGATGGTCGCAGCAAGTCAAGCGCATAACTATTCTGAGACTTTTCAAATCCCGTCCCAGGGGCCCAACCCCCCTCGCTTTATGTTTGGGCCATGCAAGCTAAGATATATGGTGAACGGTTTTCGCCGAATGAGGGAGTGTTAAAGACGTATATGGTGAAGCGAAATTGCCAAATAAGGGGTGTGCTTCATATATATATATATATATATATATATATATATATATATGGTGAACCGGAATCGCCAAATGAGCGGGGTTGCTTAACACGTATCATCAACCGTTATCGCCAAATGAGGGGGCGCGTTTATCATGTATGTTGAACCGTTATCGCCAATTAAGGGTGGTGTGTTTAAGCTATAGGCTGACCCGGAGTTACCAAATAAGGGGGGGTGCTTACCGCTTGCAAGTGCGTTTGCAAATGGGGGGGGGGCTGCGCCCCCCCAACCCCCCCGCTTTCTTCAGCTCCGTAGTGAACTTGCTGTAGCGAACGTCGTGCCATCAAGAACGCTTTCTGGCCATCATTGGCGATTGGTCGTAGCAAGTCAAGCGCTTAACACATATGAGACGTTTCACAGCCCGTCCTCGGGGCCCAACCCCCTCCCCTGCTTTATGTTTGGGCCGCGGTGAATGGTTTTCGCCGAATGAGGGGGTCTTGTTATCGCCGAATGCGGGCGCGTGTTAAAGATGTCTGGTGAACCGGAATCGCCGAATGAGGGAGCGTGTTGAAGATATGATGAGCCGTTATCACCAAAAGAGGGGCCGTGTTTAAGATATATGGTGAACGGTCATCGCCGACTGAGGGGCCGTATTAAAGATATATGGTGAACCGGAAAGGGGTGTGTCTAAGATTTTTGCATAAGTCTATGGTGAACCGGAATCGACAAATGAGGGCGCTTGCTTAAGATGTGATGAACCGCCGGTCCTCTTGCAAGTGCGTTTGCAAATGGGGGGGGGGGGCTGCGCCGCCCCCCAGACCCCCCCCTTTCTCAAGCCCTGTTTTTCTTTAGCGAACTTCGTACCATCAAGAACGCTATGGCCATTTGCGATGGTCGCAGCAAGTCAAGCGCATAACTATTCTGAGACTTTTCAAATCCCGTCCCAGGGGCCCAACCCCCTCGCTTTATGTTTGGGCCACGCAAGCTAAGATATATGGTGAACGGTTTTCGCCGAATGAGGGAGTGTTAAAGACGTATATGGTGAAGCGAAATTGCCAAATAAGGGGTGCTTCATATATATATATATATATATATGGTGAACCGGAATCGCCAAATGAGCGGGGTTGTTTAACACGTATCATGAACCGTTATCGCCAAATGAGGGGGGGCGCTTATCATGTATGTTGAACCGTTATCGCCAATTGAGGGTTGTGTGTTTAAGCTATAGGCTGACCCGGAGTTACCAAATAAGGGGGTGCTTACCGCTTGCAAGTGCGTTCGCACATGGTTCCCGATGAGAACGTGCGTGGATGCCGGTAAGTTGCTGCGACGCTGCCAAAAAAGCAGAAGTGCGCGAATGTGAGGCCGTGCACAGGGTGTCTCATGAGCGCCGTGCACTATGTTGCATGTACATATGGCCCATCCTTGTAACGCGTACAGGTTCTATAGAAGCTAAGAACGAAAACCATAAAAATTACCAAAAAAAAGACCTAAAGCCAGGCCCTTTCTCGTGACTCTTGCAGGTTTTTTAGCATTCCAGCACCGAAAACCATAAAAAAAATACCCAGAAAAAACCATAAAAAATACCCATAAACAACCTGGGCCCGGAAAGCAGCGGGAAGGTGGAAAAAGGAGAAAAGGGCAAGGATGTGGGGGAGGAAGAAGAACGCTTGGAAGAAGAAAGGGCAGGGGGGGTCAAGGGCAAGCAAGAGAAGTCGGTCGGGAATGGAGGGGCTGACCCGGGCGGAGGGGGGGAGAGGGGGGGGGGGCGGGAACAGGGCAAGGAGCAGCGGGAAGATGGAAAAGTAGTGGGGGAAGAGGGAAAGGCGAAAAAAATGAACAAAAAAAGAAGGAAGTGAGGCAGAAGGAAAAGGAAGAAAGAGAAGGAGGGAGCTTGGGGCCAGAAAGCAGCGGACAGGTGGAAAAAGAAGAAAGAGCCAAGAACGTGGAAGAGGAAGAAGGAATGCTTGGAAGAAGAAAGGACAGGTAGAACAAAAAACAAGTCAAGAGAAGTGGGCCGGGAAGTAAGCAATGGAAAAAACACGCAAGCGAAGGACAGGAAGGAAGGGTGGGAGGGGGGGGCGGGGGGCCGATTTGGCCGTGGTGGGGGCGGGGGGCAACAAAATCAGCAATAAATTGAGGGGGGAGGAGAGGGGGGAAGGTGGGAAACTGTGAAAATCACGCGTGACAGGACGGAAGCGGGGCAAGGGGGTCGAAAACAGGCGCTAAAAACGGGTGGAAGTTTGCGTTTGGTTAGTATTAACTTAACCATCAAGACGCCAAGACACCTTTGGCCTCGGCGGATCTATGTTGATCCGTGAGTTTTGTCTGGACTGCTCAGATCATTCAGATTCAGATCTTCACTACGCAGCTAAACTGAGTGCAGGCTACTGCATGCTAATGGTCGCAGCAATCAACTCGTGCTGTCGTGAAAGGGGATGCAGCATGCAAAGTGCCGCCGTAGCACGAGGCACCGGCTACGTCTCCAGCATCTTGCCGGTCCAGCCCAAGCAAACGTTGAAAGGAGCACAAACGCAGGTCAGCAGAGATTTGCGACATGTCCGTGGAGGCATGTGCAGGAGGCAGAAGCACACTTGTGACTTTTCTGCAGGTTTCTGCCACTTTGCGGCTGCTCGCATCTGCTGAACGCACGCACCTGGGCGATGCCAAGCCCTTGCATGTCGGCGCCCCAGTTAATTAATCGACAAGATGACATTTGCTAACGGGATTGCGCAGGTCGTCATTTCCGTGTTGCAAGACTCGGATGAGCTGTTCACCCGGAACAAGCGCAGGAAGTACTCATCTGCTCGTATCGAAGTGCTTGAGTCACTCGGTCGAAAGAGAAGCTCCTCGAGAAGCGTGGGCGTGTTGCACGCAACCATGGATGCGAATACTTGAGGATCACGTCGCCAATAGATTCCGCATCTCCCACGTGCCCTGCCTGCAGCTGCTACTGGCACTCGGCGAGAACAGCACTTCTGGTTCGTGCTGGCGACAACAGCCCCGTGCTCATAAGGTCTGCATGTCAAACCCAGGGAAGCCGACATGTGGCGTCATCCAGCTTCGGTGCGCAGCGTGAAGTTCTACTACCGGTCGAAATGAAAGCAGGTGGGATGCGTTTGTGAGCGTGGCAGTAGGAACATCGTAGCATGTCAGTGAAATCACGAGCGGCATCTTGTCGGATATTTTGTTATGCCTCTGGTCACATGCTAGAGGTACACACTACTTGGTGATTGTCCACTGGTTGCAAGCGTCACCAGTGAGCAGCTGGAACCGCGAGGGCACATTGCGAGCTCCCTGTCGAAGAACCGCTGAGCTTCCACTTTGCTCCGGTTGCTCCTCTCTTGATTTGTGACTTGATGTGACTCGTGACTATCTGAGAATCTGAGGTGTACGCCCCGTGTCCTGCAAGGCTTGAGTACGGCCCGGGGGCATCCATGGCAGCTCAGCGAGAGGCCTACGAAGCAGCCGCCATGGGACCACGCGGTGCTTGTCTCAAGGAGGAACAAGGCGGAGCAGAGCGGAGCAGAGTTCAGAGTTGACTTGGTGTTGGAGCAATCAACTTAGAGTATTCCTCATATCCTCCACGACTATAGGGGACACGTGCGAGGCGCTCAGCTGCGCTGCTGGAGTGACCGTGAGTCTGGGACTATTGCTCTTTGCTTTGATGCCTCGAGCGCCCCAGCCGGGCTGCTGGCATCTCTGACGTGGAGATTGCAGACCCTTGACTGTTTCAAGACCAAGAACTGGGTCATGTCGGAGATGCGCCCACGAGCTGAGGAACGCCTTGCTTCAGCCCAACTTCCCAAGCTGGGAGGGAAGCATTCCAGTGGCTGGTGATGAGCAACATACGCAGCTTGTGGACCTGAAGCCCGGACAGCGCACCTCGCACGCACTCAGCCACCACACGAGTTCAATCGCCTCGTGCCTTGCGGCCAGCACGTGAGGTCAGCTCACAGTTGTGTCGTGGCTTGATCCCTCGAAGTCGTTCTCGGCGAACTACTCCTGGCAAGCAACAGCAGACCCATGCGACCAGCCTGCAATGACTAGCGAGCATGTTGGTCATTCAAATTGGCGGTGGAGACAGGCTCAGAATGTCGTGCTCCCGTCGGCACCAGAGTGCGAACTTCTCAGTTACCTGTGGAGTGTGCCGAGCACCAATCACAGTATCTGCGCTTGGTCCAAATGGTTTCCATTCTCGTTTCGGAGACGAACTAACGGAGACTGTATGCTTTTGTGCACTATGAATGCAAGGCCGGGCCGCTTCTCTGGAGCTTACAGAGTGCTGAGCCAGAGCGATCCGGGAGGGCCAGCCACTCTGCATGAGGAGCTGCCTGTACCCTATTCGCAAGTGCAACCGAGTGCCGACATAGTGTCCGATTGCAGGAGTGCTTCGAAAAGTTCATGATGCGATGCCCTCAAGACCGCAACGGAGCCACCATGAGCCACCCGTCTGGTAACTGCCTGAGAAGCTCACGCCAAGGCGAGCTGCCCCGAGATGCTTGCAGTGTTCTGAAGCTATCGTGCGCATGCCCGGCCGATTTTCAGGCTCAGCTATAGCATTGAGTTTAATTGAGTTGTCCGAGTTTGTCATGGTCATGAAATCGGGAGGACAGTTCTTTGCTTACACCGCGAACCAGCTTGGCAATCACGCAGCAGGTTGGTGCTGGCAGTTCCTGGCATTTAAAATGTAAACCCCGGCATCAAGCGCTCCTAAAGGCCGTTCCCGAAGAGTCTTCCTTCGGGGATCATCCGATAAAATTGGAACGATACAGAAAAGATTAGCATGGCCCCTGCGCAAGGATGACACGCACAAATCGAGAAGTGTACCAAGCGTCGAAGAGTCTTGGAGGTAGCACAGGTCCATGCTGAACAGACTCGTTGTTGAAGCAGCGGTCACCAAAAACACTGCTGCTTCATGGCGGGATGGTCCTTCCAAAGTTGGAGCCGCAAACTCCTTCTGCTTGATATTCCGTTCAGATCAGGAAAGTCCTGGTAGGTCGCAAGATTCTAGTAAAATTTCCCGGCACAGACTTCGATCTTGTGTCGTGTTTTTTTGTTCGGGACTAGAAGTGTTGCGTCCACTGCAGTCTACCGCTCGAAGAACTCGCACACGCTTGTGATTTCTGCAGTTCTTGATACATCCTTTGTGACCTCCATGCGGAGTGAACAAGCTGATTTGCTGCCTGCTAGGAACCATGCTCTGCGCCGCCCATGTGTCTATTGACTTACCATACTAAAGTAGCCGCTAGTGAATGGGCACCAGCAAGTCCCCTCGGTGTTGTCCGCCCCGCGTCAAGTCGATTCTTGCTTTATCCAATTAGTCCATACTGATCATCACGTAATGCAGCCTCCTCATGCTTGCTGTTCAGTGCTAGTCCACATCGTGATTACGGGCTGGGACATTCCTATTTTGCTATCGCGACATGGGCACTGACACTGCTAGGCAATAGTCAACAAAACACAGTCCAAGAGCAAAGCCAGATGGAACCTGGCCGTGGGCCTTGCGGCTGCTAAGAAACTCCACGCTGGTTTGGTCTGAGTTTGCTTTTCAGTCTGCAACCATGTGCTGGCCAGACTGATTCGATGTCGTAGACCATGTGGGCAGATTCCATCCTGACACCTGGGACGTTAAATAAGCTGTCTGCTGCCGTTTGCTCCAGGCCAGGTCCATTCCGAGTGCCACGAGGCGTTTCAGAAGAAGTTTGCGAAGCCCAGCGCTTAGCACCTGCTGTCGTGGCGTCGAAGCGCAGTTCGATTTTCCACAAGTCCGAGGATTTGCTTACACTGCGGCCTGCACTGGTCTCAGAAACCCCGGCCGGGCATTCGGGGAGCCCGGAATTACAGTGCACCGCGACACCCAGAGGCCGGTGATGCAGTTGGCCGGCCAGTTCAGTGGGAAGCATTTCAACTACAAGGCAGGCCGCAGGGCGGCGCCCGCATCCCGCAACTCCACTACTCAGCAGTTGCCGGCAGCAGCATTGCTTTTCAGTCAGGATGCACATTTTGGGAAGCACGGTGCGATGCTCGGAGCGGACAAGAGGAGTGTGAGCGGCGCAGTGAAGCTGATGGGTCGAGGCAACGGACCTGTCCACGAGGCAGGAAACTGGAAGCTTTTCAAGTCGCCTCAATGGGAAACGTGTGCAGTGCCAGTGCAGGAATGTCACCTGTCCTTCCTGCGGAAGTGGGCGCCGGCATGCTGGCGATGCAAGGCGGAACACTTGAGAATAAGAATAAGGGTATGTCAGCGAGCCGTAACCTGACAAACTTGCAATACTCAGGACTAAGTGGGCGCATTGTAGGTTCGGCCTAGCCAGGAAGAGAACAGTCGCTTTGTTTGAGTTCGCATGGCATCTTGCCTATGTATTTTGTGTAGCACTTTAGCACTCCAGTGATCGCAACACGGTGGTTTACAAGCCATCTCGGAGCACGCAAGCATGCTTGCGCGCGTGGGCAGCCTGCAGGAGCCTCTTGTGGCGCTGCCGGGAAGGCCGCAGCTATGCCAATCCCATTGATTGCTAGGAGGAGCGTAGGAACAGAGCCTGCACCTGTCCGTGAAGGTTCAGTGGCATGGTCTTCAAGCTTACAGGCCGGGTGAAATGCACAGAGAATCATGTTATGCCCACTTTGTGCCCGTGTCCAACACCTGCTGGAGGTGCAGATGGCACCCTACAGGCCTGCAGACGCATATTGGCACTGTACATTTGTTGATTTTGGTTGGTTGCAGCGCTCCCATTTGGCCAGGGAGTGGTGCACGAGGAATGCCAGGCTGCATCTTAGTACCAAGCTGGCTTCAGAATGTAGTGGGTCATAGCATCAGCACGCCCAGGACTTTCAAAGGTTGCTTCGGCAGTCAATTAACTTTTTTAGCTCGAACATCTCCGAGCTGCCAAGCAGCAAGAGGTGCTAGCTAGATAATGAACTTTTCTGGTGCACCTGTGCCGGCAAGCCGGCAGCGCTCCCGAGTTTAAAAAGGGCGAGCCTTGCAAAGTAGTGCTGGAGTCATCTGACGACTTCAAAAAACCCCCATCTCATCCCATCTCCTCTTGAAAGGAGTACTGGCATGAGCTCGTCTCAAGGGCCTGGAGCCGAGAAGCCGAGAAGCCGAGGCACAGTTTGCGGGGTTTATCCACACTGAACAGCACAAGCTCTGAGGCAATGCAGGTTTTGTTCAAAAAAAGGGTGGAACAACGAAACTTTTCTCGACTGTGTCGAATTGTGCTGGACAGTTCCCGCCACCACAAGAACGTGCTGGAGATTGAAGGTGTTTGTTTCTCTCGCGGGTGGTGCTGGTGGTCGTATTTCTGTTGATGCTCCTTTGGTTTGTGTCGCTGCTTCCCTCCGTCTTGCTTTTTGTCTCTTGATTGGGCTGAAGCCTCAATCTGCCCGTTGCTAGCCTGAGGTGCTCACCTCGAGATCCCAGGTTGGCTTTGAAACTTGTACTCCTTGCTTGTGTCAGCACTTCTCCTTGCTGACCTCAGATGGCGCGACTCACAGCTCAAGGATCAATTGAATACTGCCCCTTTGTCTGAAGCATCATGTTGCAGAGCATTGCATGTTTCCCACATGAGTTTGCCTCTCGCAGATACATTTCACAAGCTCTGAGGCAAGAACGCTGCGCAAGGCCGTGGAGCAACACTTCCAGGTGCCGATAGGACAAGCATGTGTACATAGACGTTTTTTCGTAGTCCGCTAGGCGAAGCCGAAGCCAGCCACCAAAGACTGGGCTGGTGAGCTGAGAGACCACCAGAGTCGGCAGAGCAGTGAAGCATGAAAATATCTTTCTATGAAAGGTACTGGCGTCGCCCAGAAGTTGCAGAAGAGGGCGCACGACTTGGCTTAAATGACGAGCTCGTCCAGCTTGGCTTGCGGTTCTTCTTTTTGCAGGTCCTTGCTTCAGAGCACCTCGCTCGTCTGCTGATGCAGCGCGTTGAAGGACTGCCGTTCGGCGTGGCTTCGCCAGTCGCTCGATCGTCGCTTCTTCCGCTTAGAGCATAGGAAGGTTTGGAGAAGGATCAGGCATTGCTTGTTCAGAGCCCAGCTTGGAGGGTTCAAAAAGAGGAACGGAGCTGCTGATTCGAAGAGCCCGGGCCTTGGACGAGCCTCCGACTCTAGCTAACGATGCGGCTAAGGCGCCGCGCGTTTCAGGTGAATCAGTCCTTGTTCCTGCTCACACGGGACCAGGAGTCGCATGGATCCCAGGATGATACCAGCCGCTGGCCGCTCTTCGCTCTTCCGGGACTTGCGAAGTTCCGAAGCCGAAGATGTCGAAGGTTGAAAGTTCCTACAGAGATCTGCGAGAGGAGGTGCAGCCAGGAGCCCAAGACAAGCCGCAGATCGCATCTGAGACTCGAGGCTGCTTCTTCGGAGCCAGCGGCCGGAAGAGGAGAACGTTGAGGCACCGCCCTTCGTGAACGCTGCCGCTGCTTTGACGCACTTTTTCTTAGGATGACTTCCAGCTGGCCTTGGAGCGGGAAGAGTCCGAAGCTTCAGCTTCCTTTGTTCCCTTTCTTGAAGAGGCCGCCAGAGGCCACTGGACTCTGCCCAAGGCGTGTTCTCTCATCCAGCAGCAGACACCTTGGCCTGGTCCCCGTGGCAAGAAGGGGAATGAGTTTCAACTGCGAAGCACGTGCTGCAAAGGTAGCTACATCGATGCTGGCGAAAAGTTGCTTGATGCTCTGATGGTGCGACCATCAGCGCATTCCGTGCCTCACAACCTGCTGCGATAATGTACACATCTGTCTGTCGGAGAGTTGGTGCGCCGTATCCACCTGCCAGCCAACAGGCCGCAAAAGACGAACTGGTGGCAGACATGCAGTTCAAGAAGCATGCACTGCGCCTGAGCCCCTGCAAGCTCGAAGCGACCCTTAACACTGCGGAAAGATCTGAGTTCATTTCGAACGTCGAAGGCAGCCTGTGACAGAATCAATTCAGCTTCCAGTTTGCTGACCTACTTCTGCTTTGCCTGTAAACGTCCGGGACCGCGCGTCGAGGTTTGGAGAAATCGGCGCTGCAATTTGACCCTTATCACGGACGAGACCGGGCATGTGTGCTGCAGCGCCCCCGGCCCTAGGTTCCGCAGATGACCCTGTCTTACGCGGCACGACCGCATGTGCAGGCCAATGGTGGCCGAAAAGGCAAAGGCTGGGAAGCCCGAAGCCTGGTGACCCCGCATTGGCATGCGTCCTCTCGGCATCATTCATGGAGTTCTGGTGCACAGGCCGACACTAAGTGTCCAAGCCGGCATTGTGATTTCAGGATCAAGCCAAGCGGCTGCACTGAGATTCCTTAGATTGGTGGAATGTGACCCATTACGTTACAAGAGATCTTTGGCTGCCATGCGCTTGTGTAAAAGATATCATATCCTCCATGCTACACCAAGCGATCCTTGTTCTGCAGCCCACAGAGCACCGGCCTGGAAGCCCATGGAGACACAGGATTGTCAAGAAGCCAGCAATTCCCCTGAAACGACTGCCGAGGCCTCCAAGACTTTGCTCCGAAAATCCGTGGTTTGCTTGCCGAGAGTCTGCTGCTTTCAGGTTGCCGTCAGCGGTTCTGCGAAGGGCAAAGGCAAGACTGCAGAAGGGCCGCCGTGCACATCTCATGTCGTTTGTCCGGCAGGCAAGAGCAAAGGCCCGCCTTTGCCAACGTTTACGAAGAAACCAGAGGTCGCGAAGCAACCGGAGCCCAAAGCAATCTCAGCCGCTCAGCCGATTCATTGGACGTGCTGCTTCACTGGCAACACCCACGGGTTCAGCATCATCACGGCATGCATGAAGTCGTTATCAAGGTGGACTTGGCACCACCCTTCCAGTTGGAGCGCCCGCCGAACTCGGAGAAGGGCGGGGCATCTTGTCAGAGATGTTGAACAGCAATTGCATCCAGGCAACTGGCCAAAGGAAGTCAGGTGCGAATAGAAGAGAGTCTTATGCTCTGAAATCAGGTGATCAAGTTCACAACCAGCAGCGGGTCTCAGCTACCTTTCCTCGTCCGTCAACTTACGGACAGCGGACGAGGGGAGAAGGCCTTCTAGATCCGTTCAGCCGGTAGCATACTTCATGGTCATGATCATGGCATCATGACAGTCATGTCCTCTGTGCACAGCAGACACAGAATTAGCTTAAAGGGTTCTGGTGCATACGCAGGTTAGCATTATTGTTAAGCATAGCATATGCCTGAAGGGTGTCCGTGTCGATCAAGCCGTGCGGTATTTGGGGCGCCTTCGCGCATTGCGGTTCGAGTGTGACAACTACAACGCGGCCACTCGCCCGGCAGATGCACAGCACTTTGGCAGCAACCTCGAGTGTGGTGCCAAATATAGCCGATCTGGCAGATGGCAAAGATTCAACTCCGCAGGCGCTTCTTGGAATTCTGCTCCTCTTGTGGCGAGAGCCTGAGCTGACCTTGCAAGTCGCCCAACCATGCAGCAGCTCACAGTGAACTCGAAAGGCGTTCAAGCTGGAGAACGCCCTGTCGATTTGCCCGGTTTGGATGAGCTTATTCAAACCGTGGAAGGCGAGATCGAGGATTTGGAGAGTCTGAGGGAAGAGATCGGCTCCGGCGTGGCGGCAGCATTTTCCGAAAGTACCACTGTGTCTTTTCAGAGTGTGTCCGTCGAAGTCAACCCTGCCAGCACCGAGGTCATGTGCAATTCACAGCCCTGGCTGAGGTTTTTATCCCGGGAAAGAAGGCCAGCCTGTTGCGTGAAAACTTCCTTGAGTTGATTTCTTTCATTTGGAAGTCCAATTCTCATCGCAGGTGTTCATGCAAGTGGAGGGTTTGAGCGAGCCGGTTGGCATGACGGTATTGCAGAGCTGGTACCAACAGCAGCAAACTCTCTTTGGACCGGAGAAGTCTTTCCACATGGAGCTAGAATTCTTGGCATACTTGGGATCCAGTTTCGCGCTCGTCAACTTTCAAGAGGTCATGTCTGCCTACAAGGGCGTCCGAAGATTGGATTCTTTGTTCTATATAGCAATGACTTCACAGGTGCTGGAGAAGCTGCATCAGCGTGGCAAGAAGTACAGAGATGCAGCCATGAGCTCACCGTATGTGCAGTATTCGCGCGGCTCCTTCTTCGCGCATGGGCGTGCGAAGCATGCCACCCTCTCAGGGGGCCGCGTCATGCTAGACACACAGCGTGGCCACGAGTACGGCCATCATGCTGCTCGTGGTGGAGACAACTGCTCTTTAGCTCTCCAGCAAGCGCTGCGAACCTTCAAGCTGCAGCAGAAGCACGGCACTGAAACTCTTCGCCTGGTTCAGGATCCTCAGGATTCCGAGCTTTGGATGGCCTGGCCAGCCATGGTTGGGTTTTCCTTCACTGCGAAGTGCTGGGGCCAAGTATTGGTGGCAGATACCTCCCCAATTCAATTCCGAGCAGATGCATTTCAACAGCTTGTTCTACCTGACGACACGAAGGAGATCATCCGGTCAGACTCCTGGGTTGGGGTGCATGTAGCTTGAAGGCCACCGTGAGCAGTTCAAGGGTCTAGCGATGTCAGATCGCTTCCTGCAAGAGCTTTGAAAAGATCAGGCATCTCAAGTGCTGCATGCCCAGGTCTGCTGTGCGGCACGCCGGCACAAGCGGCCTGGACTTCATTGAGGGCAAGGCGCTGCCGGCAGCTAGTTCCAAACAGCACTGGTGCAATCTGCATGTAGGTCGCTCAGGAATGAAAGGTGCGTGTGTGCAGTACATTTCACTCTTCTTCCAGATCGTCCTTTAAGCTTTGATCTCGGCTTTGATGTTGGAGCGGCTTTCACAATTTTCGCTAGGAATACAACTGTCCGCATATACTTTGTGATGTGGGTTTGCACGTCGACTTCCAGCACGAGCCATCGTAACAACAAGTGTGTGGGCGTTGGGCCCCTGCTACGAGTTAGAGTTTCGCTTCGAGTTCGGGACCAAAGCTCTTAGAGACCCAATCTAGCCGCGCAGGGCTGTCGCTACACTGCGGCTGTGGTGCTTATGACAGTTCGCGGGCCCAGGAAAATTTGGACCTGGTTTGTGAAGCTGGGTTGGACCTCAATCAACTGCGAGAAACATGTCGAAGACGAACATATCAAGCTTTTTTTGTTGGCTGACTCGTTGCATGCCAGGGAGATAACACAATCTTTCTGCTGTATGGTCCACCTGGCTGTGGCAAGACACTGACGGCTGAAGCTATCGCTGAGATGCTTCACATGCCGCTCTATGTGCCTCCTACAGCAATTATCAGATTCATGTTTCTCAATGTCTATATGTCTATATAGTCACAGCACGCGAATACTTCATTCAGACACAGGTGGTTACAGCTGGTGATCTCGGCATCAACGCGCAGGAAGTTGAGCAGAACTTGTCGCAGGCACAGCGACTGGATAGTTTGCAGTGCGGAGAAGACAATTGACAACGATTCGAAGCAGATGTGCTTCTTGAAGGTGCTGCACCTGTGCAGTGAATGGAACGCCCTCACACTCATTGACGAGGCTGCTGCTCGTCCCTGTCAGGCCCGGCAAGTTTTCAATCGCAGGGGCGACCTCCAATAAAGAACCTTTGGCAACCTTTGACCTCCTGATGTTGTTTGGGGCTCCGACGGCTTGTGCATCGGCACTTGCGGGCTTCGTAGCTGCAAACCTCGCGCCTGCCACTGTTTTCGAGAGGGAGCGGAGGTGGGGCCTCCAACACATCGGTACTTGCAGGCGGGCTTCGCGTGCAGAAAACCTCGCGCCTGTCATTGTTTTCGGGGAGGAGGCGGGGTGCAGGAGCGGGGGATGAGCCGACGACGTTTATGTCTTTTGCGCCGTGATCGGGTTCATTCTGTGTTTGTCGTTGTTCGCGATTTGGCTGGCTTCTCACGGGAGGGAGGCGGCTGGGTGCGTTTTCCATGCCCAGACACATCTGAAGGCTTGAACCCCAATACTTGGGCGGCAGTGCCCCAATAATGGCTATGCCTGTCTGCAAATGACTTAAGTTCATGTACGGTGTGTTCATACGGGTGTCATTCCATCATCTAAGCTGGCATCCCCGGTAGACTAGGTTGCCATTGATACTTCTTTTGAGGTCCATTCCCCTCGTTCGCCGTGAGGGGGTGGAGGGGTAGGGGTGGGGGGGATGATGCCGTTGTGATCGAATGCACGACGCTAAGCCTCCTTGCTTGTTTACGTCAACTCTTGCGACTACAGGGCTTTTGCTGCCAGTTGCGACTACAGGGCTTTCGCTGCCAGTTGAGGGTCTTCGGTCACCAAACGCCGCAGCGCATAGTCATCGTTAGTTTTCAGAAAATAAGACATTACGGGCCCCATATTTACAGCATTACTGTTTTTCATGTTTTTGGTTTGCTTCAGATTTGAAGCAACATCACTAACATCACTCGTGCACACGATATCGTTATCCTCATATGCATATTCTTAAATAGGATACTTGTACGTATACCCATACATGTGCTTGTTTCAACTGTCGACGTGACTATAGAGCAGGAGGTTTGACTCACTTCTTGGCTGGTTTAGGCCCGAAGGGCGAGAACACTGCTACTAAGGGGAAGGCGGGGGGGGGGCGGCCGAAAAAAAAAAAAAAATCTGGAGGGGAGGGGGGGGGGGCAGCGCCAAAAAAAAAAAAAACTAAAAAAAAAAACAAAATCTTTTTTTTTTTTTGCGCTGCCCCCCCCCCCCCCGCCAGATTTGTTGTTTTTTTTTGGTGGCTGCCCCCCCCCCCCCCCGCGCGGGGACAGCAAGGCAAGCGACAGCCAACGCCATGGTGCGCCATACTGCGGGAGCGGACACCAACCAAGAGCCACATGATTTAAACCTGGTGTCCTTAGCCCTTAGCCCATGCAAGCCTCACTGCAAGTGAGTAGATACTCTATGCCGAATATTAAGATCAATGAGATTACAAATTTACCAGATAAACATCTATAGAATCTATAAAAGACCTCAGAGACTTACTGCGTATAGAAAAGTCGATATCTGAGATTACAGCTCACAAAGATGATAAACTATTTATGACTGATGACATCATATGACGAGGAGACCTTACATTAACATACATTCGATGGATGCGAACTCACGACACAACCACTGCCTGAGCAATGCCAGGTGGACAACCAGTTGAAGGGTCTGTCGTAGTCAAGCGATAACAACAATGCTTGATGTCGCATATGATGTGGTAGCATATGCGAGGACATACGGTCGGTATATATGCTGGATGTCAGATACATGTATGACCAGTCTCCTCGATAACATATACAACAAACACTGTCTTCGCCTTTCATTGACAGGTTGCGATGTAAGGAATCCGAATCCGACTATCTTATAGGTGCATGAAAACGGGAGTTTGAATATTCCACTTGTGCGATGTTCGAGCAACATGCTGGGCTCTGTCGGGGAGTTTACAACTGGAAATCATTATTGGTTTATGTTCCTGTGATCAGGATCGGCTACTCGCAGTAATCTGAATATCACTATACCAAAACTGGCTAGATATGGAAACAATATATCTCATGAGCACGTCATGGTGAAGTATCAATCTTCACGTGAACCATGCGCATCATAGTATGATATGGCGTAACACACTCGTGCGCATGTAGCATGAGGTGCTAGGGAGATGCCATACGAGCTTGGCAAGCTCACGGGATGCACGAGGACATCTAAGTCAAATCTCATAGTGAAGATATGTGTCATGAGATGCTGCCTGCATCTTGCGACCTATTCATACTTAGCTGTGACTGTTGTAACTTCATGCGAGATTGGGTTTATGTGTGAGAATAAGTCTCCGGGCTTTTAGAAAGGTCTACCGAGGGGTTTAACCAATATGTGGTGCAATCCCGCTTGCCCGCGCGGCCGGAAGGCGTAAAGGGGGAAGCCCGAACGATGCGGGCATCTTATAAGGACACATACTGCGATGATCTATACGGATGGCTCAATATCATAATGATATGTTGAAGAAATTTCCTGGTGCTCTATGTTGATATGGCCATATTCAACACATAACATGCCTTTTACATCGAAGGAATGTGGCGAATATCCTGTTCAACTGCCGGTTGGGTGCCTCATTATGACGGCTCCATTACTCTTGCCAAAACTGGCATGCAGCTGCCAATGTAATCTGCCATGTTTACTTCCACCACAAGAGATACTTGACTTCTTGATGATGTCACATATTAAAAAGTTGGTTTTAGGCATAGTATAGTTCTTATACGTTTTCTTGGGTAACAGGATTTAGTTTACGGAGATATCCACAAGACACACGATGAAGCGCGTCATGGGCTTTAACAAGACCATATTAGAATGGTTGCGGCATACAGGTGCATTGCCTGCAGCATAGATATAACAAGCGGTATCGTTTACAGCTGATGACAATCGTATGTGCGTGTCGGTGTATGTTTGTGTGTGCATGTGCAAATAATGTGTTTTCACGGCAGTCAACTTATGACTAGATGGTATGAGCAACAAGACAGCGAAAATGATTAATATTGCAGGTGGATCTCCATATGTCTGCATATACAATAATGATAGCAAAGCACCATCTCCTTGAAAAGTATATTAACTCAATTATATCCTTATCCTTTGGGGGCTTGTGGGCTTCAGCCGCAATGATCACTAATCTGAATAAGCCAGCATTGTAGCTGTCAGGATGTATACAGCAACATCCATGCGATGATTGTCTTCGAAGGTCGTAGGTTTTCAGTTTTCTGGGTTGGCTTCTGTGAGAAGCTATTGCAATTGAAATACACAATTCCGCACAAACAGCTCCAAATACTGGACAAATTATTGGACTGGGAGCTCCGAAACAAGGACAACCAATGCAGTAATAATCGCAAACAATAAATTCGCTTTTGAAGGAGGTTGCACTAAACAAGCTAGCATTCATACGAAAAACGGTATCGAAACTGAATGTAGCAAAGACATCTATGCACATATATGTATATATGCACATATGCAAATGGATCCGGTAACACGATCCAGTTGATCGCCTGCATGTACACAGCTTGAGACGGCGGGAACCGTTTGAGCAACCTGCCTGTATGATGCCAAACTCAACTTGTCATGCTACAGTATATGCTGGACGTCTATATCCAAAATCATATGTTACCATGCACATGATGGGGCCTGCAAAAACCGGTAGGATATGTAAGCGATTCTTTACGCTGATATACAAAAGTTATATAGATTGACCGGTCTTGTACATCATTCAAGGGTGGAGAAATGCACGGTTTCGCAGACGCATTGTATCTCATTTATCTGCAAGATTATACTATGAGACACAAAGAACAACCACAAGATTGAAGTGGCATTGATTTATCGGATAGTCTTCGTGAGACTCCACAATGAAAGGTAGTCACACGTGCATCCCATGTTGATTGGAAAAGTATTTCCCATATCAGGCATCAAGAGCAACAGGGTTAAGTAAGCTTGAAAACCACGAGTATGCAAATTATGACGATTGTAAGTTTTTGTAATGAAAACTCTTAGAAAACAGCATTTTGACTGGAAAATATGGGGCCCGTAATGTCTTACACTCTCTTAGTTTTTGTGGTTTCGGCCTGAACAGATTGAACAGTTACTCAACAAACCAAAGCTCCATACCCTGAAAGTGCTGCGCTTGCCTTGGAATCCTAACAAGCCGAGCACTATATCCTCTGACGGGCACGCGTGAACCGCCCGTCCCATCAGAGATCGGCTGTCTGTCGGAAATCGGAGCTCAGGACATCTTCCTTGAGGCCCGGAGCTCCTCTGAACTGCAGCGGAACGCGCTGGTTTGCGTCATGCTCCGGCTGCTGGAGTATCACCAAGGACAGGGCCGCACAGGGAGCCGTAGGTTAAGCGGGGACTTCGATTCACGGCTTCAAGACATTGGCACAGAAAAGATTCTGCATCGCCCTAAAACAAAGGCTTTCCAGCTGAGCGGTAGCAATCACGCTCTCCTGTGACGGAATTCGTTAAACTTGATACTGCGACTGCTTGTTCTTTCTCGTGTGCTCGCAGCCAAGCCCAGGTGGGGTTGGCTGCATCAGCCTTTGCCGGGAGATTCATGATGCACAAGACACACCCTCCAGAATCAACAGTCCGTATCTACGTTTTCTCATGGTCCCGTTTCTCAGAGACGAGCTGAAGCTTTGGATTGAATGCCATATGTTTGACAGATGCACAGGGGCGTTGAAGGCAAGGACGATATTTAGACTGTTTGGACGAAACAAACGCCAGTCAGTTGACTGTCAAAGGAGCAATCCAAGGCATCGGGACATATCGGGACTCTCCGTTTAGTGGACAGACGGATATGTCAGGATCTGTAAAGCACCTCTGCACTTGGGCGCCCTGGTCAGGAATCCTCTTCTTGACCTCAAACAGGGCCAGCAACATCGATCCTGCAGTAGGGTGCCTGACATTATCTGACCAAGCCTTCGTAAGCGTTCGTGGGAGATAGATCACTTACACTGCCCAGGTCAGGTCCCGCATCACCGTGGCACTTCACTACGAGCCATTGAGCCAGAAAGGTCGCGAGGCAGTTTGGCGGAACCTTCTTCAGCCACCTGGCATTTAAAGTTAAGGTTTTTGCACGTCAGGAGAGAAATTGTCGGTGCAGCCACAGATCAATGCTGAGGAAACTTCCGCATTCCCAAGCAGACCCTTCCAAGCTTTCACGCCATGTGCTCAATGGCCGGCAGATCAAGAGTCACTTCGGCAAAAGCTAAGATGTGTTCACGTGTGGTTGTGCAGTTTGTGAAACCTGACGCTGAGAGGACGGAGAGGGTGAGAGAGACGGATGTAGCTTGAGGGACGAAGAAAGGGTGCACACGTTGTGTTTGGGCTCGCTGATGACAGCATCTCACGCAACTGCGAACATTAACAGGCTTGCGTGGTTCGTTCACAGTGGTTGACAACCACAAACACACAAACTGCCTAACATACCGGAATGACGCGGGCTGTGGAACAGTTTTTGTCAAACAAGTGCCCAATCTGAGCGAGCCTGACAAGGAGAGCAAGACAAGACTTCCCTAGTAGTAGAGTAGTTAACCTTTAACCTTTTTTTCGGTAGTATAGTCCCTCTATAACCCCGATATAACCACAAAGGTTAACCTTTAGTTCCCCATGATACCCGACAAGTAGGCTTCCGTCATGCCTCTGCGGAAGGTTGCCTGCTGCTCGGCAATGCCTTGGCCGCCGAGCGTGGCGAGGAATTGAGCGGAGCTTTGATTGAGCGGGCTGTGGTTGTGGTAGCGGATCGCACCGGAGAAGGCCTGGCGAATCAAGCGCGTAAGTGCATCTCAGGCGCTTTAGACCCTGCAGTCAGGCAGCGAAGACGTACTGGAAGAGCATCCTCAGTCATCTCGAAGAGTCTACATGCCAGGCGTGCTGCAGACTACAACGGTTGCTGCGATGCCCCGTGGCCGCACAATACTGCAACAGGATGCGTCGGGCTCGACTATCGTGACGCCCAGGGTGTCGCGGGAAAGGCCTTTACAACCCAAAGACTCGTCAAGCCCGCTTCTCCCTGGCAGTACTGGGTTACCCAGCAGTATCCTGGTGCCGGCAAGTCCGAGACTGATCTCGACCAGCACATCCACCAGCCTTGCGTCAGTGGCAACTCGCGGTCCGAGCATCGGTTTGCGAAGCAAGCCCTCGCAATCACAGAGCCTGTGGGAGCCGACTCAAAGTCAGCGGCAGCAGCGAGCTTCATCGCATCTTGTCTTGGGCCATGATGCAAACCCCTTCCAGCAGAACGGGCCCGCATCAAGCGGTATTCCGCCTGACGCCACGACGTTCACGGATGCAGCCCCACAGCTGCACTCCTGAACAGAATGGCCATGGGATGAAGCTACCACCTGAGCAGTGCCGACCACATCGGTAACTGGTATTCAGCCAGTTTTCGGTTGCCATAAGTAAGACTAGTAAGCTAATGTATCTGGCAAGTTGGGCAAAGAATTCACCCAACATCGCACAAAGTTTGCATATGTCTGCATCAGGGCATTGAAAACTACAGGTGTGCAGAAGAACTCGCGGGCACTCTCTCGGATGCGGCAGGGTATTCTGACGGGCATCCCTCTGAGGCAGAACAGCGCCACTTCAGCTGATGGCGATGTGCCTCTTGCCTGCAACAAAACGATCAGTAAGCGAGGAAGATAAGGAAGCTGTCCTGTGTCCTCGGCATTTTGGTCAGGCAGTCGGGCTACGATATGCGACCCTTCAAATTTGGTACCACCCACAAATGTTTGGACAAAGAGGAGACCTGGAGTGCGAGCCTCAGCGTTTGATCGCCAAGACTACTTGCTGACTTTCAGCTGCAGCCCAAGGCGAGGAGACCAGTGAGAACATTCACAGATCTGCTACTTGACTATTGCTCACCTGCCGAGGGCTGCAAGGTATTCACGT